ATAAGAAGTTTGGCTACCATGAATAGGACCAGTCAGTTTCTAAACGTCACCATTCTAAACGCCAAAGGACACCGTTCCCAGAGAAGACTGCTAGAAAGCAAGATGAGGTGGGCAGAAGGTTGATGAGATTAAGGGTGAAAGCCTGACATCTGCCAAAGCATAAGACAGGAAGGCAGAAACTTGAGAGGAATGTAGCATGACCCTAGCAGCCGGAAGAAACAGTCGAATCTCTCAAGGAACTCCTCAAGTGTAGTGATGCTGGCTGCTCAGGCTTGAGTCCCTCACCAGCCCAGCCAGACCATGGTTTACAAACAGCGAGCTAAATCAGCAACCTCAACAGAAGCTGTGTCAAGTGATCATGTCTAAAGGCTGTTGATTAATGAGCTGATGTCAGCTTGGTGGAAGGTTATGAAAGCATGGTGTCACCAGGTTGCCCTAGGACCTATTTGTAACATTCCCTGACAGAAAGCCTATACCTGGAAAAGTGAGAAACGTGGGAAGGCAATTTATTCAGGGTAAAAGCCTTGGAAGACTAAAGAATTCATACTGCTGAAAAAACTCTATCATTTTAATGTCTTTAAATCTGCCATGATGCTCCCATTATCATTCCTGATTTGGTAATTTGTGCCTTCTTTTTTTCCTGATAATTCTTCCTAGAGGTTTATCAATTTTATTAATCTTTTTTAAAAATCAGCTTTTGGTTCCATTGATTTTCTCTATTATTTATCTGCCCTTATATCATTGTTTCTGTTCTTATCTTTATTACTTCTTTCTTTCTGCTTATTTTGGATTTAGTTTGCTCATTTTTTTTCTGTTTTCTTAAGGTGGAAGCTTAGATCATTGACTTGAGATGTTTCTCTTTTCTAATGAAAGAATTTATTGCCTTAATTCTCTCTAAGCGCTACTTTAGCTGCTCCCCATGCATTTTGATATGCTGTTTTCATTTTCATTCAGTTCAAAGCACTTCATAATTTATTCAGTCATTTCTTCTTTTATTCAGGGGTTATTCGGAAGTGTATCACTAAGTATTTGAATAGCTGGAGATTCTCTAGGTATCTTTCTGTTATTAATTTATAATTTAATTCTACTGTAAGACATACTTTGCATACCCTTCCATACTTTGAATACTTTGCAATTTATTGAAAGTTGTTTTGTGGACTACAATATGTTCTACTTCGTACATTTTCCATGTGCACTTGAAAAGAATGTATTCTGCTGTTCCTCATTAAAGTGTTCCATATCAATTGTCACATCCTCTCTATCCCTACTGATTCTGTTTACTTGTTCTATCAGCTGAAATTCTGAACTACAAATGTGGAGTTATTTCTCCTTTCAATTGCATCAGTTTTTGCTTCATGTACTTTGAAGCTCTGGCATAAACATTTAAGATTGTTAGGTATTCTTGATGTCTTGACCCCTTTATCATTATGAATTGTCTCTCTTTACCTCTGTAAATTCTTTGCTCTGAAATCTTCTTGTCTGCTATCAATATAGCTACTCCAACTTTCTTCCGATTAATGTCTGCATGGTGTATCCATTTCTATCCATCTAGTACCGTTCTTTCTGCCTGAAAAACTTCCTTGAACATTTTTTAGGAGTGCGGATCTGCTACTGATGAATTCTCTCAGCAGTTGTTTGGCTGAAAAGTCTTTGCTTCACGTTCAATTTTTAAAGATACTTTAAAGATACTGCTCCAGACCAGGCACTGTGGCTCATGCCTGTAATCCCAGCACTTTGGGAGGCTGAGCCGGGTAGATCACCTGAGGTCAGGAGTTTGAGACCTGCCTGGCCAACATGGTGAAACCCTGTCTCTACCAAAACTACAAAATTAGCCAGGAGTGGTAGCGGGCACCTGTAGTCCCAGCTACTCGGGAGGCTGAGGCAGGAGAATCACTTGAACCCAGGAGGCAGAGGTTCCAGTGAGCAAAGATTGCACCATTGCACACTCCAGCCTAGGCAAAAAGGGCAAAAGTCTGTCCCCAAAAAGAAAAAAAGATATTGCTCTTTTGCCTTTTTGCCTTAATATTTTCTGATGAAAAGTGTGCTCTCATTCTTATTTTTCTCTGAATGCATGTGTCATTTACTACCAAGTTTTAAGATTTTCTCTTCAATTTAGTTATGACATATTGTTTTATTGCCATGTTTCTTCTTCAGATTGGTTAAGCTACTTGAATCTGTGAGTTTATAGTTTTCAACAAACTTGGGGAAAATGTGACCATTATTTCTTCAAATTTTTTTCTATCCCCCTCCCTTCTTCTGAGAAGCCACTTACATATATATTAGACTACTTGATAATGAAACATAAAACTTATACTCTTTTTTAATTGCTCTTTTCTTTGTACTTAATGTCAGATTTCTATAGCTATGTCTTCAAGTTCATTAATCTTTTCTTCTCCAGTATCTAATCTCTTAATCCTACTCAATGTATATTATTACTTCAGATACTGTATTTTTCATCTCTAAAAGTTCTATTTGAGTCATTTTTATATCTTCCATTTATCTCTTCTTTATGCTTTCATCCACTACTTGAACGTTATTTATAGTAGCTTGTCTATTGTATTTGTCCATTTTCACACTGCTATAAAGAACTACTGAGCCTGGGTAATTTAGAAAGTACAGAGGCTTAACTCATTCACAGTTCCACAGGCTTAACAGGAAGCATGGCTAGGACACCTCAGGAAACTTACAATCATGACAGAAGGCAAAGGGAAGCAAGCACATCTTAGCAAGGTGGAGCAGGAGGGAAAGGGGGAAAAGGGGAAAGTGCACACACTTTTAAACAACCGGAGCTCATGAGAACTCACTATCATGAGAACACCAAGGGGAAAATCCACCCCCATGATCCAATCGCCTACCACCAGGTCCCTCCCCCAAAACTGGGGTTTATAATTCAACATGAGATTTGGGTTGGGACACAGAGCCAAACAGTATCATTCACTAATGCTATCATCTGTCATTCTGAGTCTGTTTCTATCGACCAAAGATTGTCTTGACTGTGGATTGCATTTTCCTTTTTTTTTTTTTGCAAGGCCTGGTAATTTTTTATTAGATGCTAATCATTGTGAATGTTACACATTTGGTGCTGGCTTTTATTGTAGTTTTTATTTTTATTTTGAGCAGTTGTCTCCCTTTGGATAAGGTTAAGAGTTACTTGAAGTCACTTTGATCCTTTCAAATGCTTCTTTTAAGCTTTGTTAGGGCAAGTCCAGAGTAGTCTTCAGTCTATTCCCATCTCCCTAACCTAACCCTAACCCCACTCTGGTAGTATTTTGCTGAAGACTCTACTCAATGATCCATGTACTATATTAAAAGATCTTTCCACTATTGCTGAAACACATATTCTTCCCGGCCTTGTATAAGCTCTGAGGAATTTTTCTTTTCTTTTTTTTGGCGGGGGTAGGGATGGCAGAGTCTCACTCTATTGTCTAGGCTGGAGCACAGTGGCGCAATCTCGGCTCACTGCAACCTCCGCCTCCTGGGTTCAAGCGATTCTCCTGCCTCAGCCTTCCAAGTAGCTGGGATTACAGGCACCCACCACCATATCCTGCCAATTTTTTCATTTTTAGTAGAGATGAGGTTTCACCATGTTGGCCAGACTAGTCTCAAATGCCTGACCTCAAATGATCCGTTTGCCTCGGCCTCCCAAAGTGCCAGGATTACAGGTGTGACCCACCAAGCCCGGCCCTTTGAGGAATTCTTCATCACTCCTTTCTCCTTTCTGTCATTCAGCCTCAGGCAATTTCCTGCCTCCATTTTGTTTTCTTCCTTTAAGGAATATTCCATTTTTATTTGGCATACAAAATGAGGTTACTCTGAGATCATCTTGAGTCTCTCAAGGCTTATTTTTAAGCTTTGTTAAAGCCTTTAGTCTAGTGCCAGTTTGGACCTCTTATGAAAGCATGGCCTTTCTGAGTCTCTAGTCAATGCTCCACATGTTCAAGATCTTTCCACTTTAACTGGTTGGCATTCAAATATCTCCCAGCTCTGTGTGAGCTCTGAGAGTTTTTCATCTTATAACTCCCTGACAGTTTTTCTTTTTCACCTAAGGTAATATATATGCATCTAAGTCTATTTAATTATAAGTTAATAAACTTTTCATTTTAAAAGACTTATATGTATATTTTCAGAAGCAGCAAGGTAGACAAAACACACACACACACACACACACACACACACACACACACACACAGGTGAAAATTGTATCTGATCCTAAAGTCAGTCTTTTGGAAAAGACAATTTCATTAGATGGATGCTGACAGCCATTGAGAGAAAAGGAAAGCAGGCTAAGTTTCTGGGGACTACCGCAAGAAAAAAAGCGAACATACAGAGCTGGCCCCAACCTCAAAAGTGATCCTACATCTAACCAAACTGAAAAATCCACATGAGGTTTCTCAGTATCTATCGTAAACAATTTATCAAGATATCTGGTTAGCACTTAGGGTACAATGTGATAATGGGACATAATTTTTCTTGGAAAAATCTGGGTTAGAACCACAGCTTTGACTTCATTTACATTTAACTAATAATCTGGGCTCCTATATGGAAGTAGCTTAAATGCCTTGCAGATTAACCATGGACTAAGAACTTTCTTTGATCTTGAATACTCTTCCAAAACACAACCACGGGGCTCCATTTCTCACCCAATATAATTATTCCTGAGCAGAGCATTATCAAATAATACCAAGACAGAGACTGGCTTGGGGTAGTAAGGTAAAAGGATTTAGCTAAGTAGCAACCCAAATATGAACAAGGAAATGAGCCTAAGACACATTAAGCATTTAGAATAAGCCCCACCTGATTGATGACCATGGTGAATTAAGCTTCATCTTCAATTATTGATATTAATGACCTACTGTGAGCAAGACGATCTCTAAGGTACTTTCTAATTGTGAAATATTATTCTGTCTTACCTATCAGGCATAACTGATAGCCTATTACTACGTGTGTTTTATTGACTACATTTCTGTCTGTCTTACTAAAAGTAAATAGTTCAATTATTGTCATCATTCAAAGGTGCCACCACTTTTATTCGTTTACCAGATCACAAGATGATACTGGTCCATTACCCTTGACCTAGTCAGACCTTGACAAAAGACTTAATGATGCTATTTAGGATGCATTTCCTTGCTGCTTTGTGCAGGTGGCTTCCTCATTGTTGCATAGACAGTGATAGGAACATCAGTTATTGTCAGGCAATGACTTCCAGGGCATCTCCGGAGTTGCCTGAATAAAAAAGCAGACGACATGTAGTTAGATACTAAAAAGGGGAAATATCTTTTTCAGAGCATCCAAATTTTAGTGTATATTTAACTGTTTAAAATCACTGTGAAATCTCTGAATGTCATAAAATGAGTACAACATGGTGTTGCTGATGAGGCACCTATTTTAGACTGATATAACAAAGAAATTGTGGCCTTTACCATAGATTTAATCACAGGAAATTCATATATTCAAAGATAATCCTCCAGATGTTCATTTTGAAAGGTATGTAATGATTGCTAAATGGCAAAACAAAGTGCATAGTTACAAACATAAGTGATAATACCATGGCAATTCATGTGCATATGCACCCTGAAATCACTTCAGTTGAGTGATTTCAAAATGAGAATGTTTGTGGCAAAATACAAAACTGAACATAGTATTCCACATACTGTTCAAATGGTGACAGACTCTCAGATTTGAAATGGCCCTTAAATGACACCTAGTCCAAAAATACATCTTATATATGAATTTCCTTTCCAACATTTCCACCAATCAATAGTCACTCAGCCCTAAACATTTCTAAAGACTGGGAGCTCACTATTTCCCAAAGTAGCCTATTTCATTCTTTACTAACTCCGATTTTTAAGTACCTACACCCTGTTAAACTTAAATCTGTGTTTCAAAAGTTTCCAACCATGAGAATCTAACAATGTAGTATCTAAAGTTTTGCTATGATAAATATCAGAGAAGTGGAACTAACCATTTTGCAAAACTGCTTTGTCTCACAGAATCTTCATACTCTATATCACTCTTTCTGCCAAAGGCCACAGCAAAGCCAAAGTGACACCAAATCTGAGGTCTAAGTCTTTTTCATTATGCCTAGCACAGTGCCCTGTACATACTAACATTGAAGGTTTGTTTGTTTAATTGAATGTTACCTAATCATGAAGCTATCAACAAAACAGTCTATTAGGCTGATACAAAGGTAATTGTGGGGATTTTTGGTTAATAGCTAAAAATGTACCAGAAAGAGAGAGAATGAATGGGTCTATCATCAAGACTTACAGAAATACAAAATACAGACTCTATACTAAGGAAACCTGGGCTCTGTTAATACTAATTTAGAAACAACAATGTTTTTGAATTCCTGAGAATTTTTTCTTGCTTATGCTGAATATCAGCTGAAGGTTATATTGATGATAGCCAATACATATTTCCTCAGTTGTCAGGATTGAAGACTTTACCTGGTTGGTGACATCTCCTTCCCATTACAGGTAGCACTGGAGCTCATCCCCGGTTCTAGCCCAGTTGAAGAATCTCCTCCTTCCACTGGAAACCTCCTTGGCTGGGTTCCAAACTGAAAAGGCATAATTCACTGAAAACCTAGATTAGAAAGTTAAAATATTGGGGGTGGAGACAGTTTGTCATCAAAGACTTGTACAGAATTTTTTTAGGAATCAGAGTCTTATTATGTTGCCTAGGCTGGAGTGCAGTGGTTATTCACAAGTGCAATCATAGTGCACTACAACCTTGAACCCCTGGGCTTAAGCGATCCTCCTGCCTCAGCCTCCTTAGGAACTGGAACTACAGGTGCACACATGCCTGGCCTTGGAATTTTTAATATTACTATCTTGTTATAGACATATAGAAATATTCTGAGTGTTATTTTACTTATAAATAGCTATAAAAGTATTTCACACCTATCCCTTATGTACAATTTAAGTCTTGCAAAAAATACAAAATAGCCACCAAGTGATACAAGGATAGTGTGCCCGATGGTTAACATAACTGAAGTCCATTTCTGCTGTGTGAAGACAAAATTCGGTTTTCCTTTAAATAGTTGTTAAAATCAACACGCACCTCTCTACCTATCTATACTCTTCTCTTCCTTTGGAGCACAGAATTTTGCATTCACCAAGAGATCTTCAGCTAATCCTTCTGCTCCAGGTGATTATTCATTTCCCCCTGCTTCTTTATAGTCATAGTAAAGTAGTTAAGAAAGTAGCCTTGGGAAAGCTGGATTTATCTGAGTTCAAATGCTGGTTCTGGCCCTTCCCAACTATGTGATCCAAGGTATTTATCTATATTTCTCACAGGTACATTGGTGATAATATTATCTACTTCTAGGAAAATAGTGAGGATTGAGTAAGGTAATACATGTAAAGTGCAGTGCCTAACACACAGTAAGTGCTCAGTAAATGTTAACTATTATTATTCAGCATGTACTACTGAGCATTAGTAAAAAAAAATATATATATATATGTGCAAGTATACATGAGATATTTAATTTATTATGAAGTAGACATGATGCATACACATAAACACATATAAATAAACTCCTTACTGCCTGCCTTGGAACTCTTCCCTACCCCACTGCTCCCACCCTTCATTTGCTATGGCCAATGCAATCCATTAAGTCTGAACTGACATTTTACTTACTCTGTAACTTAATTCTATAAACCCCCATTATCTAAGTTTTCATAGCAACCTTTATTTCTGCTTTGTAACAGTTATCGTCATTCTAATTCAAGGTTTCTCAGCCACGACACTATTGACAGTTGGGATCAGATAATTCTTAGTCGGCAAAGGAGGAAACTATCTTGTGCATTGGAGGATGTTTTGCAGAATTCAAGGCCTTTGCCCAGTGGATGCAAACAGTACCCCTCCCCCAAAGTTGTGACAGTTCAAAATGTCTACAGATATCGCCAAATGTCCCCTTGTGGGAGAGAGAAGCAGAACTGCCCACTGTTGAAAATACTAACCTTATTTTTGTAAATGCTTAATATCCCCCCTCATTCCAAGTCTATCTTTGTCATCACTGAATACTTAATACCTAGAACAGTGCTTGGCACACGGTGAATATTTAATAGCTCTATCTTGAAATAATTTGCATGTATTCAACTATTAGCCCACAAGGGATAGGAAAAATTTTAAATGGCTCAACTATTTCTTATGCCTAGTGTAGTATTCTATGCCTAAAAGTAAATGTTTATTGGTGGCAATAAAACTAAATTAAGGTTTAAGAATTTAAATATGATAACTTTTATAGACTATGTGTCAATTATCAAGAAAAAAACTGTTTTGCTCAATGATGATTTAGTAAAACCACACTGTGGTTTAGTGTGATTATGTATGCAGGTGTTAACATTGTTATTTGATCAAGGATAAATAGACTTACTGATATAGGCCGAGTCTGATTCCTGTAGAGGTGAATAAATCAATGCTTCTACTGACCTTCCACAGAAGCCTGGAATTGCCAAAGGAATGATGATCAAATGTTCCAGTGACACCCGGAAATTATGACATCGGAAGATTCTTTCACATAGTTTCCTACCTGCTAAAGAATCAAACATCTCAATGCATAGCTCCAAAAACCAACTGAGGATAACTAAAAATTTTCTCTTAAAGTCTTTTGAAGAGTTTCATTCTTATTGTTACTGCCTTATTCCTTATTTCCCTACAATTCCTTATTTCCCTATTAGTATTTTCATCCATGAATGAGGGCCTACAGTCTAATCAATCTGTACAAAATCAGAGTTGAGATTCTTCTCATTTTAGATCCTGTTTTCCTCATTCTCTCTCCCCCCTAGACTTTCACTTAATTATGACAATTAAATCCAATCTATCTACATCCTCATCCCACTCCAAAATCATCAAACCCAAACTGTGCCTTTACAGATTTCTCTGTAACTCTTATATGGGATTCTTTACACCCTCTCTCTAATGCCTGGAGTAACCTGTTTTGTTTTTTACTGTTTGCTCAAGAGAGCCTTCAAATTCACAAATGGCAGGAAAAATTACAATTGTGAAAGGAAGAATACATCTTGTACTGTCCTCATTATTCTGTTCCCTGGGCCCTGGGCTGCTTCTCTGCTCGTTCCACCTTTGCATTTCTCTGAACTGCTCTCCCTCTCCCAACTCGTTCTTGGCTTCTATATCAATAGCTTACCTCATGAACATCTGCTCTACTCAGTAATGCTTAGTTTAACCCTTACATCAGAACATTACTCGTCCGCTAAGCAGTTTTTCAATTTTCGTATCTGATGACTAAACTATTAAATGTTAGTGAGCATGTTTTTTTTTGAGGCAGAGTCTCACTCTGTCACCCAGGCTTGAGTGCAGTGGTGCGATCTCGGCTCACTGCAACCTCTGCCTCCCAGGTTCAAGTGATTCTCCTGCCTCAGTGCAGCCCGCCTTCCGAGTAAATGGGATCACAGGCACACACCACCACACCCAGCTAGTTTTTGTACTTTTAGTAGAAACAGAGTTTCTCCATGTTGGTCAGGTTGAACTCCTGACCTCAGGCGAACCTCCCACCTCAGCCTCCCGAAATGCTAGGATTACTGGCGTAAACTACTGCACCCGGCCCTAGTGGGCATTTTTTTTAATGACACAAATTCTTTTTTTAATTTATTTTTCATTATTGAACTTAAAGTTTCATGTGCAGAATGTGCAGTTTTGTTACATAGATATACACATTCCATGGTGGTTGGCTGCATCCATCACCCCATCATCTACATTAGGTATTTCTCCTAATGCTATCCCTCCCCTAGCCCCGCACCTAACACTGTTGTGTTTATATGTGTCATATGACTCATGTTATAGAAAACTGGCATTTTACATAAGAATTAACTTGATATTGAATATGATCTTACCTCTCCTTTTTCTTACTAGGATAGTATCTATGAGTAAGTTGATCAGCATTTTAGCTTAGAAAAATAATTTAACTGACAGTGTCACAGTCACACAAACAAATAATTGCTGGCCATTGTTAGCTAATGTATCTTAGGACCTAAACATTTGGTCCTTAGGATGGCAAAAAATTTTGATAGTAACATTTGGTCCTTAGGATGGCAAAAAATTTTGATAGTTCACATGTTTGAGAGGAGGTAGCAGTAGAAAAGTGATGGTAGCATCAGAATTAGATTTAAATTGGTTTTTGTTGTTGTTTTTTTGTTTGTTTGCTTGTTTTTGAGACAGGTTCTTGCTCTGTCACCCAGGCGAGTGCAGTGGCATGATCATGGCTCACTGCATGCAGCCACAACCTCCTGGGCTCAAGCAATCCTCCCGCCTCAGCATCTCAAGTAGCTGGAACTACAGGTGCACACCACCACGCCCAGATGATTTTGTATTTTTTTGTAGAGACAGAATTTTACCATGTTGCCCAGGCTGGTCTCAAATTCCTGGGCTCAAGCAATCCACCCATCTTGCCTTCTCAAAGTGCTGAGGCTACAAGCGTGAGCCACTGTGCCCAGTCATATTTGAATTTTGACACAATGCTAGTGCTGAGATTTTGAGCAAATCACTAAAAGTTTGTCTGTAAAATGGTATTAATTCCTACCTTACAGAGTTGTTGTGAGGAATACAAAAATATATAACATGTATAAAGCCAATGACTGGGATACCATAATTCAATCAGCACTACTTCCTAAATATTTTTGTGTCATTCTTGAAATCAGAGTGTTGAGACATTGATTTCACTTTTTAGTCACTGATATATATAAAGTAAAATACCTGTAAGTGGGATATTCTTAAAATCTTCTAATTTACCATTTTAACTAGTCCATTTGGCATACCATGCTTCCTTAGAATGGGTGATACAATGAAACAAACCAAACAGTAGCCTTAATGATGAAACTTTATGACATTAGAATAATACATCAGAAGACAAAATGAACTTGAGTCTCCAGCAGATTTTCATAAAGCAATAGATAGACAAGAGCAGTACAAATGGTGAGTTAAAAGACAGTGAAGTCTCCAAACGCTCCCTTAAGTATCATAAGCTCAAGAGCATTAATCTTTCAACTCTCAAGATATTAATTCATGAGATGCAGAAAATGAGTGATACTTGAACTTGCCATAGTCTAAGAAAAAAAGACCCATAGACTCCATTCATTCATTTAACAAATATTTGCTGAGAATCCACATGAGCCAGGCATGTGTTAAGTGTTAAAGATAAAAGATTAAGCAAAAACAAACACAGTTCCTGTTATAGTGGAGTTTATAGGCTAGGATAGGATTTGTTTTAGTATGAAATCTAAATCTAAAAGACAAGTGTGCATTAATTAGGTGGAAATGGGTAGAAGACAAAAACACTGACACAGTTGAGGAGGAGGCAAACAGAGGAAAACAGCAAGTTTCTTATTCTTTCTCCATCATACTCCCCTGTTCATTTCATGCCTAGGTACCTAAAGAATTCTCTTTATTCTGAAAAACTGAATGATTTAATGAGGTTTTATGTCTTGGTGTTGATTTTTCTATAGAAATCTCTTTTTCATTCTCAGCATGTAGAATTCTGTCCACTCTATTTGCTCTGTATGTTAGTCAGTTATTGCTCCAATAAAACTGCACCCCAAAACTTCAATGGCTTCAACAACAACCACAAAAAAAAACATTTCTCTTTCTTATAAGATTCTGAATAGCCCGCTACAGTTCAGATGATCTCAACTTAGCTAATCTGGGTTTGCCTGTATGGAAGTTTTGGAGTGGCTGGTAAGTAAGGCTCTCCCTTGCTTGACTCTTAAGCAGAACTGTCTCAGTCTGATTCTCTACAGACTGAAGTTACTAATGAGATATGTTAGGACTTTTCTATGTGTGGCTTCTAGAGAACAATGACTGTGACTGCATGAGGGGTAGCATTCTGCAGAGACCAGTATATCATCTGACTGACACGGATAACAGACTGATACAGACCTATTCACATCACTGCCTACAAACTGGACCAAGACTTGCAAATTTTGTAAGCTCCAGACTTTGGGACTTTAGCATCAAGACCCAAAGTGCCCGACTGTACCTCTACCATTGACCCTATGCTAAATAAGCAGTTAAGAATAAGTCCAGCCTGCAAAAATTTACTGATTAAAAGCTGCCTATTACCAAAAGATATAAAATCCATTGCAACTTTAAACTACCAGCTACCAGAAAAATGTAATAATAATTACTATGTGTCTAATGGGACAATAAAGTGCTCTAATCAATTGAATATTACAGTTCATATTAGCACACATTCATAACACATACCATAAAATTTAACTTTTAACGAAACAAAGAAGACTTCTTACGGTTTCATAGTTCTTCAGAATTTTTGTGGAAAATATTACTTTCATTAAAGAAGTACTTGAGTTGTTAATTAAATTCTGGTCTAATTTTTATCAATAAAAGTTTACACATTTTAATGTTTGACAATTTTACGGAGTTGGTAATTGTCATAATGCCTAATTTTTTAATATTCTCCTCCTCGATCCCATCTAAATGCCTAGCATTAATCCCATCTCTTCCATCAGATTTCTGTTTACTCATCTACATCCTCAACCAGAGAATCCTGTTGCACTTATAGTCAATACCACACAATTCTTTGAGTATTTCACGTGTATGTCTTCAATTAGATTGTAAGCTTCTTGGAACTGGATCCATGTCTTAATTTCTTTTGAATCCTCCCAGAGAGCCTACAAGTTAACTTGGTGAGTATAGAGCGTTCAACAAATACTGGTTGGGTCTCTGATCTTAGTTTTGCCATTTTTGTCAAAGTGTATAGCCATCTAGCTTCAATTGTGCCCTGACATGTCTGTTTCTCTGGGGTTTCTTTCTGCTCAACGCCATTGTTCATTTTCTATTAGAACAAAGGGCTTGCTGAATAGAGATGCTAAGGCAGCGTCTCGTGGAATGTGAATAAGCGGAACTGATCCACCGCCCAGGGTGTTGACGCTGTGAACAAAAATTAAACCTCTGATAGCCTACGAACAGCTTAAAGACACATATTTTAAAATACCACTCTAAAGCCTAGTTACCCGCCAGTTAGCCCGGCCTCCGGGGCCGTAGTTGCTCAAAGATGTTGACAAAGCAGCAAGGATCTGCCTTCCCGAGGCCCAGTCGCTATGGTAACGGTGAGACGCAAGTGCACTTGCGCGGCCTCCTGACGGAAAACCTTCGTCTGAAACTAGGAACGTGCTTAGCGACAGCAGCGGCTTGCGGTAGCAGCGTGACTTACGGCCGCCCCCTCGGAGAAAGCTGTTGAGGACGGAATGCAGAAGCCGGTACCGGCTCGCAAGCACCGCGAGCTGGCCGCTCTCCAGAATGACCCAGTCAGTGGTCGTACAGGGTGAGCTGCGCGGGACGGGTAGAGAGTCGCCGCGGAATGCCTTGTTTCCTGCCTAATATCCTATTCTCTTTTCTTCCTCTCTGGTCGCAGTCGGCCAGTGCGGAAACCAGATCGGCTGTTGCTTCTGGGACCTGGCGCTAAGGGAGCACGCTGCGGTCAACCAGGTACCCTCCTGCCGTCGCGAGCCCCTCTCTCCTGTCAGCAAGGTCTTCCAGCACCCACTCGACTTGAGCTTTCATCTGACCTATTTAAGTTGCATGGGATATTCCCAGTAAAGTACATACTGGTTTTTAACCATGTTGCTGCCAGACGCACAATAAACTAAAAGAACACCGACCGAAGACCTTAGTCTTAACATTTTTTCTAATTCTCAGGGTCTGCTCTTTATTAGTGTTCGTGGCAGACCAGTGAGATTGTGTATGGGAAAGTACTTTGTAAAACAGATAACACGCGTGATTATTGTATTCCTTAATTTAACCAGTCAGCTTTTAAAAGATCACCAAGAATCCAGAGAACACTCATTTGATGGACCTGTTCTACAGTCCTATAGGAGGAATCCTTTCTTTAGCACCCCCTGCTGAACTTTATCTGTAGACCTCATGGCATTTACTCTTCTAAGGAGATTGGGAAGAGTGAGGCTCAGCATTTTGTGATACTTGCTTTTTCTTATCAGAGCGTCATCCTAGCCCTTATAGTATTATGAGATTGTTAAAATGGAAAGAACTGGATTTCGGCAAGAAGCAGAACCTAAATGCTATTAACGTGTGTTTTTCTTTTTAGAAAGGAATTTATGATGAGGCAATAAGCAGCTTCTTTAGAAATGTGGATACCAGGTAAGATGGGATTAAAGTCTGTTGCGGTGTGATACTTTTCGTTTCAGTCGCTTGGGAGAGAATTCTTCAAAGGACAATAAAAATAGCCAGTTGCTGCGAAGTTGTCTTTTTTTGTTTCATTATTGAAAGCATATTTATTCTATTAGATTATTAATATTCTCCTATTATTGTGCAGAACCAGACAACAGATTTACCTTTAGAGTGGCTTCTTTTAACTTAACCTTGAAATAAGTTTCATTAAAGGAAAGCTGTAATTTTCCCAGAGGGCATCTTGTTAATGCATCCAGTAAAAACTAACTTTTAAAAGAAAAATGTAATTGTTTACATATATAAGTATAAAAATGTACTTAAAAAGGAGACAAGCAGTTGTTGGATTGTTTTGTTTATTTAATAAAGGGTATATGTAAGTACCATATATCTTTTATCTGGAAGAGTAATTTAAGTTGCCATTCAGGATATGTCCATAAGCTTTTAATATCAGTCAAATCATTAAGTTCATGCATTTTCAAAATACTTCATAAAGCAGACTTAAACTGAAAAATATATACTTAATATCAGGCATTAATTCAATGGGAATATCAGTTCTAGTTCAAAATAATTGGCTGGGTGTGTGAGCAGTTATCTTCTAGAGAAAGCAAATTAGTCCCTGCTTCCTGGGTGAATTCCACAGTCTATCTAGGGCTCTGGCTTGCAAACTCAGAAGTGTCATTGGCATCTTGAGGTGGGTTCATTGCTCTCCAGTAGAGCCAGGTTAACCAAAAACCAAATTCTCATTTTTTCTTCATAGCCACATTACATTATCTCTTGTAGGAAATCTACCTGAAAAGCTATGTAATAATCAGAAGGTTGCTTGGTGACCATGGAATCAGAGCACAGGAAGTTAATGGCTTGTATCATTTATCTTTATTTTATGGAGATATCTGTCATATAGACTGTAGATTCCCTCTTACTTGTAGCCGAGAATATCTTCACCTCTAAATTCTCTTAGGAGACTCAAATTTGCCTCTGTAATACTTCCTTTCAGGCAATTCTCTTGCGAAGTTCCTACACCCACCTCTTTACTTCTTGTTGCTTACATTGGGTATTACATGGTTGAGACTCAGCCTAGGAGCTTTACTTTCTTCATAAGGTGATTCTTCATAACTACACCCTTATCTACTCTGTGTGTTTTATACTTTAACCTGAGAGCAATATTATTTTCCTGGTAATTTTGGCAAGAAGGGTTGTAGCATCTTGTACTTTTTTCTGTGTACTATCAACACATTCGGCATCTGTTCCACAACTTAGTACAAAAAATCTTTTTCAAAAGTAAGACCACATCTTTGTGTACTCTTCTTATCAAATGTTTATACCTTTTTAATAGCATGATAGGAATTTACCTACAGCGTGGGTTGGCGTATGTTTTCTGTAAAGGACCAGGCAGTACATAAATATGTTAGGTTTTGTGAACCATAAAGTCTTTTACACCACTTCTTGATCTGTAGCATGACTGTGGGCATAGGTAATACATAAGGGAATGGGTGTGTTCATGTTTGAATAAAACTTTATTTAGGAAAACAGACAGCTAGTTGGATTTGGCCTGGCAATTGGCTACCCTTCATATAGTCTGTCTTGTGAACTGTCATTATTGACCCATACACTGTGTTAGATTTCAGCACTTTGGCAACTTATTTCCAACATGAAATTCTGAAAACAGCCTTAGATACTCGATGGCAAATAGTATATCATTGTTGGGTGTTTTGCTGCAATAGGAAACCACATTAATGGTGACTTAAGCAGTAAAGGTATCGATTTATCTCACGGACAAATCTGGATCGATTTATCTCATAGACAAATCTGGAAATCATGTTCTAGTTTAAAAGAAATGCCTCAAAGACCTAATACTATCTACTGTTCTGCTGTCCATAAGTGTGTTGGCTTTTTGTCCTTGTATTTATTACTTCATGACTGTAAAACGTCAGCCTCTGCTCCAGGAATCACATTCATATTTATGTTTGAGGGAGGAAAAAGGCAGAAGATAGACGGAAACTGCATCTGGTCCTTCTTTAAAAGCTTCCCTGAGTACTTCCCCTTTATCTCATTGGCTAGAACTGAATTACATTGCCAGCCCTAACTACAAAGAAAGGCAGGAAAATAAGTATTTCACTTTTTCGGCCTAATGGGAGGTAAGCAAGGAAGAAAGAGATAGGAATAGGTGTTGTGTCTGCCTCACCTGGCCTATAAACAGTCTTATTATATAAATGGAAGTTAACTTTATTACCTGATAGCACTATTAGCCATGGAAGATCTTATGACCTTTTCTCATTTTTTTATCTTTCAGAGTGGTTGGTGATGGTGGAAGTATTTCCAAGGGAAAAATACGTTCTTTAAAAGCACGAGTAAGATACATATATGCTTGGATTCTTACATTGCATGTATTTTTTAAATAACTGTTCTCAGTAACTATCATGAGAATGAAACTTTAAACTTTTCAAAGTAGAAAAAAGTTACTAAGCCATGTTTAATATAAATATAACTAAGCAGACATTTGTGTCTGCTTAACACATTAGGGAGAAAAGTCCATACTTAAAAATACTGTAGGCTTTTTTCAAAAGAAATAGTGTCTAGATAAATGATAACAAAAGGAGCAGTTTAATGTTTTATTCGACTATATTGGAAGATTTATTTGCATCAAGGTTACTACCAATACAAAACATGGAATCAGCCACATGGTAGTCAATAAAAACCATTAACCATGTAAGTGCTCCTGAACCAACTACTTCCGGTTCATAGCCCATATTTACAGTCTTATTTACAGTCTTAATCATTCCAACAATATTTCTGTGATTGTTTCTTTGAAACTACTTTTTCTGATTTTTGATCAGTGATCTTTGACTATAACACAAAAGGAAGTTTAGGCCGGGCACGGTGGCTCAAGCCTGTAATCCCAGCATTTTGGGAGGCCAAGGCGGGTGGATCACGAGGTCAAGAGATCGAGACCATCCTGGCCAACATGGTGAAACCCCGTCTCTACTAAAAATACAAAAAA